GTGAGGAGGAGCTGCTCAGAGCACTAGCGTAGGGACGGGGGGGGCGGTCGCGCCCCGGGCGGCACTTTTGGGTCTGCTCATCACCCATATCTGCAGCTACTGGAGACGTTAATCCATCCCTTTGTATCGGCGGCAAGTTAATCCTTGTCGTGTCTGACCTAACACCTGACCCACATCATCACGGCCACGTCATGAGCTACGTACCCTTGCTATGCGGCCCCCCGCCACACACACAACCTGTAACCTGTTGAGGATTAAGGAAACAACTTCAAACAAGTACGCCAGTGAGCTCATGTGGTGTGGGTCAGGTGTTAGGTCAGATACGACGAGAGATTAACTTGCCGCCGATACAAAGGGAAGGATTAACGTCTCCAGTAGCTGCAAAACCATGCAGTCTCGGGTCATATCAGTTCATGTACAGCCGACCAATCCACCAGTTACAAGCAATTCACTTCAGTTCTGCACAAGTCTCCATCGTGACAAGACGAGTGAGTCACTGTGCAATATGTATTTTTTGTGGGGGCACGGGGGGGCGGCAAACTCTGCTATGGCACACACCTAGCTATGCAAGTAAATCACTGTAGGTGCGCGTGATCTAGGTATATGCTGATAACCACAAGGAAAGAAGAAAACACGAAGTTCCCAAGCGCTTTCGTGTAATTCACATCTTCAGGGGTGAGTACAGACTAAGCAGTAAAACTTGACAAGGCTAATATACTATACATGTATATATTGCTTGACGGTTTTCAACAACATTTGTATTTGACTTTACACTAATTAAATTTTTTTATCATTCAAATTTTTTTATCATCTGTACCCTATCATCATTACAATTACTGTAACATCGAACTATATTTCTTCGTCAGAATTATTATAGCAGGTATCAAGGTTCCAATTTACATTTATAACACAGTTACAGATTCCATAAAAATATTAATACAGTATCGGTGACCAGAAAAAAGAAAATATACGGGGTAAATAATTTTCGCTAAATTAGGCTAGGATAGGTAAGGTAAGATTAGGATACGCTACAATAGGTTAGGTGACCTTTCCTCGACTTTTTTACCTTGATTCATAGTGTCACCCTTGAACAAGAAAAGGTCTAAAGTACTGTACGGTATCTAGTGCTGTCTCTTTCATGTTTCATATTAAATTTTTTTTAATCAATATGTATTCTTTTCTCCAGTTTTGCACCACAACAACTAGTATTAAACACAGAACAGCAAAAAGAAGACTGCTACACAAATTACCACTTAGTAATATACAATAATCTCCCTGTTAGCAGTAATCTTCGATTCCTGGCACAGTACTTTCCATTACCAAGACAACAAATTTGAGCATTCCAAAAAATTCCAAGAAAAATCTGTTCCGGACATTCGAACAAATTTCTGAGAGATTGCAGCATGCGCCGACACGTGCCAAGTGCATGGGTGGGTAGGCTTAGAGTGCTCATGATCACTGCAGAGTATCAAATACCTATGATTGGCTGATGCATCACACAGCCTGTCTCCTCAAACTGTAGCATCATGACACAGGCCATCCTATATCATCATATCACCATTTGGCTTGCCTGCATCACAATGCTCAAGACGACAGCATCTGCCGAGTACAACAATGCCTAATACTGTCTATACATATTATCACAAAGTCCAAGTTAGTTGAGGGCAAATTAGAGGGGGTTCATATGTACCATGTTTGAACATTACAAAGCTAACAGTCGTAATAGGTAGTGAGGTATTCATATTGTATATAATTATCATGTGTGTGGGTGTGTGTGTGTGATGTGGTACATTGCTGATGAGTGTCAAGTGAGCAATTATTGTATTCCATTATAAGAGGTCATTATAACATGGTGCCTGTAGAAGCATCCCTTACAGTTTCAATTCCTACCCTATAAATGCTACAGGATGGCTTCCTTGAGTAACAGTAATGGCTTTGCTACTTTTATTGTGGCTTTTTATAGATATAATAATTTTTTTTAAACATAAATAACATACCGGTACCTGTATTATACTGTATTTAACTGAATTTAATCAGCACTCAACCCTCATTATACCTTACATTTTCACATCCATACTAATAAATTTCCTGGTCACTTTGGCATCTTTAGCAATACTGTACTGTATTCACTTGCAAGACATTTTCCAGACATGGTGAGCTTTAAATTTTCAATTAATACATACAAGAGATTGTGAAAAAGAGACAGAACCAACATTGTTTTGACAGGTTGCAAACTTTAATGAGATGAGTCCTGATTGGCTGTGAAGATGTAATAAAACATGGCTGCTTTTATTTCAGGTGATCCGTTAAACAAAAATTTGTTGGATGAGAATCTGTTATAAGAGGTCTGCCTGTATCTACCTTTTCGCTGTTGTTAGTTCATAAAATATTCTGCAGGCCAAATGCTATTAGAACAAGAAAATTTCTTATACAACAACAGTATTAATTGTTACCCATCACTTAAAAATATGCTTTAGGATGCAATCACAAGTGATATAGTACAGTACATTCATAAAGTGCTGTATTCTACTTAGAGCGAGAGGAAGCAGCAAGACAGTGGGCACCAGTTGTGTGGCTTCATCCGGAGGAACATCACTACCCCAGTTCTGTACAATATTTTCTCCAATATGTTAAACCCAGGTAAGAGCTGCCCCTGTTATAAAGTACTGTATACCTGTTACCTGCACACTTTTTCTTTATGACATTTAAGTAACGTAACATGACTATGCTTTGGCACACTGTTCCCTCAAGAGGAATACCTGTAAAACTTTCTGGGTTAATATGGAAATCCACCAAGTGAATGCAGCAACCTCACACACATACACAACATACAGTACAGGAGCCCCCCAAATTCGCGGGGGTTAGATTCTCAAAATAGCCGTGAATCGCCAAATCCGCGAATAACATTTACGGACAAAGAAATGTATATTTCCTCTATGTGTTTGCCCTTAGGACAATTATTTCTTTTACCTGTATTGTATATGTACTGTACTGTTTATGTGTGTGTGTGTGTGTGTGTGTGTAGACACACACACACACAAAACACATACAAATAAATAATAATGGGAAAATACTCTCACAAATAATCAGAAACAAGTTTATTCAAAATGTGACAGTCTACCCTCAAGTCCGTGCTTTATCAATAAAGTAATAAAGCACGGACTTGAGGGTAGACTGTCACATTTTAAATAAATTTGTTTCTGATTATTTGTGAGACTATTTTCCCATTATTATTTATTTGTATGTGTTTTGTGTGCGTGTCTACACACACACACACACACACACACACACACACACACACACACACACACATTTACAATACAGTGACCCCTCGGTTAACGAACTCAATCCGTTCCAGAAGGTCGTTCGTTAACCGAAAAGTTCGTTAACCGAAACCATTGTTTCAATGGGTTTTTGGGTAATTGGTTCCAGCTCACCGAAAATTTCCTAAATTCAACAAAAATGGTAGAAAAGTTCACTTACTTTGAGGTGTGTATGTAGAAGGCTCCTGGATGATGATGATAATGATGGGATTTAGAATGGGGGTGGAGAAGGAAGAAGAGAAGACATTGGGGTGGAAGAGAAGTCACCCCATGGTGCCATTTCACCCATAAAATTTTAGCTCTCTTGGTGTAATTCAAGATTATTTTCTTTAAATCAACACTGCACTGCATTATATATTGTCAATATGTAAAATATATTTCAAAATGACCAATAATTTGCTTGGAAACACAGAAAAAAGCGTTTAGTTGAAGAGAGTCTCAAGCAAGATGTTACCTCCAGTGAAAACAGAGAGAGACTAACGCCTGTTTGCTGTGTTAAGAGGCTGGTTACCGCGCATTAAACTAGTCACTTTACCTTCAATTATGTTCAATAATTGTTAAAATGACTAAAAAATTGAATATTAAACTTTTAAAATTATTGAATAGTATAAACTTCTTGATATTTACTAAAATAGTAAGGAATTTAAGCCCTAGAATCGATTAATGTATTGGCGGACTGATACTAAAGCCGGTTGCCCGGTCAGTGCAAGCGAAAACATGTTGAGGTCTGTTCGTAAGAAATTCGTTAACCGAATTTTTGTTCGTTAACCGAATTGAAGATCCTTATGGGAGGCAGTTCGTTAACCGAAATTTCGTTAACCGAGGCGTTCGTTAAACGAGGGGTCACTGTACAAGTAAAGGAAATTACTATCTCTAGAACAAATGGCTCCTTGTCCCAGCCGCAAAAATGCCGGGAACTTTAAAACTACCCACAGACATTCTTGGGTACATCCAGGGTGTCATCCGTGAATAATAGAAGACCGTGAAATAAAAATCCGCAAACTTGGGGGACCCCCTGTACAGTATTTTACAAAAATGAGAGAGTCTATTTTTGAGAACCTTTTTGTGAGTGAAAAATTTTCCAGCAACTTAAAAGAGCCTTTTTGTCCATTAGCATACAAAGTCATGTAAAATTCAAATACGTACAGTGATATCTCCTGTAACCGGAACAATTGGTGCAGAGCACTTATGGGAATGAGAGATTTCTGGGTAACTAGACGACTCTCTCAGAGCCGGAAAAAATCCCTTAGCCCCAGAATTTTTCGGGGAACGGTAAAATGTTCTCAGAAGTTCCAGAAATTGTCCATTACATCATCTCTTGAACCCGGAAAAATATTCCCCATCCCCAGAATTTTCTGGGTAGTACTGCAATTTTTTTTTTTTTAATTTCCAGAAAATGTGCCCAATTTTCATCTCTCAAACCCGGAAAAAACTCCCCCATCCCTGGAATTTTTCAGAAAATGTGGCCCCCCCCCCTCAGAAAATCGTTCCTAAAGGTAGAATTTTCTGGAAAATTCCGGCCTGAGAATGACTTTCCGAGTAAATTTCAATTCTGGCTATCAGAAAGTTCCAGGTTTGAGGGATTCCAGCTAACGAAGATATTACAGAACTGTAATTAAATATTTAAAGTGTAGTGCTCACAAACTACTCATACTCAATGGTTTTTCAATATTATAGCACAGCAGGGGCAGGGAGCAAGGAGCCTGGAACTAATGTGATCAGTGATACTGTCACCTCCATACCATTGCTACCTACTGGAAAATCCAGCCAGGGGTCCTATCTTCTAGCTCCACACAATTTTGGTAAGATAACCATAAGTACTGTACCAGTAACATATTTCTGAACTTTTCATTTGTGATGGAATCTAATATTCATAAAATGATTGTACAGGTAGATGCAAATAAGCACAAACAAATTTTAGGCTTGAAATTAACTTTATTTACTGGTCAACTGGCATGGTAACCTCAAAAAGTTACTAATCTGACTCAAGCTTTATACCCTAAAAATCCATGATTGAGCAAACTTGAACCATAGATACTAAATACAATACAATGCTTTGTACCTGATTACAGTATAGTACAGTATTCTCTTTTTGAATGTGGACATTACAGTATTCCATTATCAAAATACTTGTATTTTCGGGTAGATATACGTAACCCCCTTTTTTTTAAGTAGCACAATTGTAAAATAACATAAGCAAGGTAGGTAATATGGTTTATGAATGCTATGAAAAGAGATACAGGGAGGTGTGAGTTTGCTTCAGCCTTTTGATTTACTATGTAGGCCTTTAATTTACATCTGTGATAATATTCCCTGCACTTAAAATTTTTACTGTAGTACTTGTTTTTCAATATTTTATATCAGTTTTGCATTTGTATTCGTAATGCAAGACTCATTACTACAGCCACATCCGTGTACAGTAAGTCCTGGCTTAACGTCGGGGTTACGTTCCTGAGCCTCCCTTTGCCCCATAAAATATATTACATATACAGAAAATCAATGCCATTTCTATAGAAAATAGTGCATACATATAAGACTACCAAGTTTGTATTGGTACTCACTGATGGGCGGAGGTGGTAGAGAGAGTGTGTGGTGGGTAGTGAAGCAGAGGAGGCGGATGGCGGGAGCGGAGGAGGAGGGTGTCACCGAGACTCTGCGCCAAGCCGAGAGAGCATAGTGCGGCCAGACAAAAGCGGGTGATGCACCGTAAAATGTAGTCTGTGACGACGCAAAACGACTTTGTAAAGGATCACCGGGACGTTAAACTAATTTTTAGTCTCTTAAAGTTTAGCGACGTAATACCGAAACAACGTTAAGCAGGACAACGTTAAGTGCAGACTTACTGTACCACCCCAGCCAAACTGTGAGCTATGTTATAATTACAGTATTTTTCTACTTGTAATTTAGAATAGATACATATTTTCTTGTTACCATGTTACATGCACACTCAATCTTAAATGCAGAATGCACAAAAAAATAAAAGATAAATAATTATCATATGGTTAGTAGCCAAATGGCAATAATATGTACAGTATTTTTTAACTTATTTATTGATAATTTTTTTTTATTTATTCCTCACATTTACTGGTACTGTATACTGTATATTATTTTAAGAAAATTTTGGCTACAGGAGGAAAATACATAAATTTTTTTTTACTAAATATTCCCTGTTGAAATGGGGTGTGTGTCTTATTTGTCCGTGTGTGTTATACAGGTTTGCCTTAAAATACAGTACTTGTACTATATGTGCTTTTAATGTTTACTGTTTGTAAATTAGTGATATGGGACAGCTTTTATCCATACTTTCAAAGGTATGTACAAGTATTGTATACCAGCCTTGGTTATCATGGCGAGCTACAAGTTGTTACCTCAGGATTTATTCTGTTATGGAAGTGAGAGGATTATAGGGAGCCCTAAAGGTTTTGGAAAAAAATCTTAGCTACAGCTTCTTCTCTAGGACAGAAGACAGTTTTGAGGATATAAAAAAAAATCTTGTCTGTAGTAGCAACTAATGATTGAACTACTGTACAGTACTGTACCTACCTTTTTTTCTATGCTATAGGGGGTCCCCGGGTTACGAACGGGTCCGTTCTTGAGGACATTCTTAAATCGGATTTGTACACAAGTCGGAACACATGTTGTGTGCATACCATTACTTACAGAACACTGTTAAAATCCCACTATATCATAGCCTAAGTCCTTATAAACATCTAAAATCACTTAATTTAAGACCAAAGAAGAAATAGAATGAACAAACTACAGTAGAACGTTGATTTAAAGTGATTCAATTTAAGATTATTGATTTAAAGCGACACCCACAATTAAGGACAATGTTTTAATTTAAAGTGAATCTTTCCTATTTTGCGTGAGGCAATCTGACGCATCATAATTTAAATTCGTGCCTAATATTTCTCTGGGCACGCTTCACTGTCCTAAGGGCAAAGCTGTATTGTACATGTACTCAAAATAATGTACTAAATGATTACTAAAATCTTTGTCTAGTGCAAACTCTAACATGTTTATCTTCAAATTGATCACTATCTTATAAGAATTCCAGCAATGTAAATTATATTCTCCCCGGTCACTTCTGTGACATTTTATAAATAAAAACTCAATCTGAAGGACATAAATAAACAAATAAATACAGGTGCTCCTCTACTTAAGAACATTCAACTTACAAACTTTCAGAGATACAATCATCATCACTGAGGGAGGTTACCTGCCAGAACAGGTGTTTAATGTGGATGAGACTGGATTATTTTGAAGAAAATTCCAGATAGAACAAACATTATCTAAGAGGAGAGAGTGAGCCAGGTTTTAAGGCTGTATTAAAGGGTATAGCTGTACTAAATATCCATAATCTTTTCATTTTTACAATATGTTTGGTATCTACAAGAGTAAAGGTGGACTTGCAAACCATTGGACTTACAAACGAGCCTCAGGAACATAACTCGTTCGTTCTTAAGTAGAGGAGCACCTGTACTTCACTTGACCTTCGGCCCAAACTGTCAAACGTGTGACTGTCACCCCCCCCCCCATCTACCCAGCCAGGGTTTGGTGGTTAAGTATAGGCTTTAAGTATTTATCTTATATAATATTACAGACTAAAGTTATCAGAATATGTTTTGCATTGCTAGAATCCTTGCAAGACAGTGAATAATTTGAATATAAATGACATATATTTTGCTCAAGATAAAATTTGTATCCCTTTGTAATAAAATTAATTAGAACATGTCAGTTCAGTGACATTTTATAAGAGAAAAACTTAAAAGTCACTCTAAAGGACATAAATAAATAAGCACTAGACCTTGGCATCAACTGTCAAACATATCATCCCCCCCCCCATCTTCCCATCAGCTGATGACTAGTAAACAGACCATTTCACTTCCCATAATTTTAGCTGTGTTGATTTATGAGTGTTTGTTTTAACATAATACTACAAAAGACAATGTTTTGTTTATTCTAGGAGATGGGCTGAGGTGCATCTGGGTAGACTCTCAGTCTTTTTAGTATTTTGTGTTTCTCTTAAGTACCAAACTAAATTATTCCATTGAAACAACACTTCAATTTAGTGCGAATTCGGTTTAAAGCGACCTCTCTTGGAACGTATCTCGTGTTATTTTGATGTTCTACTGTAGAGTAAATGAAAGTAAAAAATAAGTCATCGGGTAAATAAGATATTGTAAATTTCAAGTTTAACCCATTCGTATCAGCGGGCGTTTTAAGTCAGACGTTTGTAAATTGGGGACCCCCTACTGGTATTTCTCTCTGACAGCAAACAAAGCCTCAGGTTTAGGATATAAAAAAAGAACAAAAGAAGACATGTACAAATCATAAGTACACATATTGTTTTGTTCACATTTTCTTATTGAAATGAAAGTCTTAGTTAAAAAAAAAAGTTTAATAGCAATACTTGTCACCCATATTACAGATTTACTTAACAACATCTAACATTGTGGTAGCTCCTACCAAATATCTCTAGAATGTCATAGGAGGGCTCTGACTCTTAGCTTTTGTAGAAAAGGTGGCTAGAAAAGAGCTATAGTCTGAAGGCCCACCTCAAAGGCAGTCAGCAAAAAAATGCATTGAATACTTATTAGATTGGTCTCAAATTCTACAGACAGCAGATGTAGCCTTGGTATGGAGTGTGCTCATTGAACAGGCTTGGCTCAATAGACTTATCTCTGGAAAGCAACATTTGAATCAAATCCTCCCTTTTTTTTTGGGTGGATGTTGTCATGGGAAGGGAAAGGCATTTGATGTTTCCAAAAGTGTTAGTAAATCAATTTCTAACTTGTTTAATTGGAGGTGCTTTAAAGAGAGAGAGAAGAAAGAAGAGTCCTTGAGTAAGAGACTTTCTTACAAAAGCTGCCTAGCTTTCTGGCCCAGCTAGGAAAAATAAACTTTAGTTTTACAGTACTGAAGTTTACGATCTTCTCTGCTGCAAATATTTGAAACTATTAAAAAAAAAAAAAAAAAAACAGGTACAAATTTACTTTTTATTATTTCCAGAATGCTCCAACTGTCCTTTACCCAGATTTCTATTTAGCAAGAAGCCCAGCAAACATCATTCTCCACCAGTCTATGCAACCATCCACTCCTGCCCTCTGTCAGCTAATAGAAGAGGAGGCAGAAGTACTGATTATTTACATAATAGTCATCCCAGTCATCTTAATGAAGAAAACACTGAAAAGCCATTATCTCTAACCACAGAAACACAAGACAAAAACCTGTCAACACAAACCACAAGTAAATCTCTAGATGAAAGCTCTAGTGTTTCTTTACCAGCTACCAATCTTACAGCTCAACCACTTTCACTTCCATTATTATTCAACCAAATGACAATGGGATCTAAAAATAGTTTCAAAAATTTCTCGGTCACAACGGAACAAACTACAAGAATCACAATACCATTAAATCCCCGATACTCCCTAAACACTTCATTTCCAGTTGAAAAAAACACTGAGAGTCCTATTCATGATACACATATTAATCAATCACATGGGAGATATCCATCAGAAAATGCCATCTTCAATAATAATTCACGTAAAACAGGGGATATATATACGGGTATTTCAAATAGAATTTTATCTATTGATACTAACAAAGACAGCCCCAGTGCCAAAACCAATGATCAAACATCCAACTCTGGCAAGACAAGAAGCCCTTCTTTCCAGGAAGCAACACTTATCAGATATAATGAAATTTTCAATAATTCCACTCCTTCAAATGATGGAACATTCACAACACAAAAACACCTAGATTCATACACTATTGTGGAAGGAATGGATAATGCAACATCCAATCCTAGAGTGGACAATCAATATGATGACTCGAGCCAAGAGGAGAATGGGCAAGATAATCATATGATCCCCAGTAACATAGCATTGAAGCATACCACTGAAAAGCGCCATACCCCAAGAGCAATTTCCAATGATGGAGAATTGCCATATGAACAACAATTTACTGTGACCTACTGGATGTTTTATCCCTTTAACAATGGCAAAGATATATGCACTGCCAATCTGGGATACTTCTTGGGTCGGATATTAAAGCCAACAATAAATGGTGTTTGCCATGGAGAAGAAATAACCATGGGTAACCATGTTGGAGACTGGGAGCATGTTTCAATACAATTTAAGGTGAGTTGCTAAGTTTAGTCTTATTCTTCATTGTATTGTATTTAACTAGATTTCATCTGCTGGATGTCATTTCATTATTTTTTCCCCTCTAAGTCCTCCACAGAAAGGACTTATAAAAATGATAGGTACCAGCAGCTCCTTCACTCTCTTATAGTCCTCTAAAGATGGTAAACCATGTTCTAGACTATGCACCTGCAGTACTATCTAAATGTACACGTCACTTTTAGGAACTGTTCACAACTTTGGGAAAATCAAAATTTCTTTTAGACATTAGCTTATAAAGCGCTTTCTCAACTTCTAAAGGAATCGACCAAGCTTATCCTAGAATCTCATCTCTAAAAGACATTCATGCTCAAAACTAAAAATCACTGAAAAAGTCTTCCCAACTTTGCTACACAAGCTTTCCTATCATATACTGTACTGTACAGTACTTGTAATGACTGAGTGACACTTTCCTCTGGAAGTTTCTTATAAACAGAAGATTTTTGTTTAATTGGAAGACTGACCCATTTTATGTATCCCTCTGGAGACCTCAAAATGAAAATGTTGACAATGAAAATCTTAGATTTCTCTCAATTCACTGAGCTAGTCAGCAAACAAGTTATTCTAGTAAAATTAAACATGTGCATGCAGAAGAGTAAAAAATAATAATAATAATATACAGTACAGGTATCCCTCATTATCCAAATGGGTTTGATTCCTTGAAAGACATTTGGATAGGTAATGGTATAATAAATGGGAGAAATAGGGCTTGGTTCCCAACGAACAAAAAAAAATTACATATATATATATTTTTTTTTTTTGCAACAAAGCTTACTGTTTTAGTTTATTCTTATGCTTTGCACATAATTACTGAAATATTACTAAAGGTGTTATACTTAATAAAAATTAATAAACTAAATATGTTTACTGCTGTACTACAGTACAGTACATTACCATACATTGAGCTTCCCCCCTGTTCATGATGCTAGATTACCTCAAGCTTGGTTTCAATTATCATAGGTTTGCAGGGTCTTTAAACTATGGTGGGGATAAAAGAGGAATCTCCGCTATGCCTGGATGCCAATGCATATAGATTCACTAGAGGATGGCACAAATACAGATGGATAAAGAAAGAGCACTTCACTTGCACTGAACAGTGAGTTAATGGAGCATAAGAGAATGTGGGAGGGGGTTGATGTCATGTGCCTTGACTGAGAGTATGTTCTTGTACATCTTGAGGCCAAAATGGCCGCCTCCTACTGACTCCTGGGCTGCGCCTGGCAGCAATTTAAAGTTTTTATCGGACCAACATTTGGATAAGCAAATTTTCAGAGTGAGGGATACCTGTACTGAAAGTCATATACGTACTGTAGGTTATATTTGTTCATGTGTGATGGGAGTGTTTAAGTGAGCATGTGGTAGCCACATTACTAGGACGGGAAGGAGGGAGGAACTGGGGGCTGTCCATGGCAGTCTGCCACTAACGGTGACGAATGTGGCACCCAATTAAAAAATGACTCATATAAAGGATGTTCCTTATATTTCCCCTGAATAAGCCAAAACATATCCATGAAAAAAAAACACTTATCCTTTAAGCTAAGCCTAGTTTAATATCCACCACTGGGATATCCCAAGCCTTCTCAGCCAAACTGCTGAAATTATACCCAGTGTGAATTTTTTCTTAAATCTGGACATACAGCCGTACTAGGAGAAATGCTTTCACTATTGTCTAAAGATGAACTAAGAGCCTCCTAAAAGGTCATAATTTTTACTGCTATAATACTGAAAAAAACAGTAAATCCTACTAAAAAATAATCTGTAAAGACCAGATAAATTTTAGGTGAAAGTCACTGAATATTATCATAAACAAGCATAGTACTGTACTGTACAGTATGTGTAACAATGCCTAAACAATCAGAGATGTGGGAGCAACACTTATTCTACAATACTACCCTAGACCTTGCCAATAAACAGTTTACAAACAATAGCTGGCCCCCAGCTAACCAGGGATGCCTATTAAAAACAACAGCTTGAACTATAGCCAAGACATAGTTGAGACGATTCCTTATGACTGCAACACCTGCATGAAGATCTAAGTGGAGAAGAAAAAATCACATACAGCACCATATACAACACCATTCTAACTTAACTGCCAATGAGGCATGCACTTGTTCTATACAGTATAGATAAGGAGTCAGATATACAGTTTACATCTTTCCTGACTGGAGTGAGAGGGGCTTCACTGAGAATGGTTTATGACAATGTCAACTGAGGGGCACGGAACAGTTGCAAGATTGAGTTAAACAGTGCCATGACTTGTCACACTCCCATGTATTAATAGCCCAGTAGATAAACCCAAAATAGGTACCTGACCGTAAAGGTGCATACCAATGCAATTTTTTGGCATAAAATGATGTGGGCATCAGTACTTAATGAAAATGATGGGTGCCACCCCAGCAATGTTGGGCAATTATTTTATGGCACCCCTCCCCCAACCCCTTTGGGCTGAATTAGGTCAAATTTGAATATTACAACAAATATGTCATATAAGATACTAAATTAAAGATAATGACACGGGAAAGCAAATTTAACATTCAAAACTAAATACAGCTACTCCCCGACTTACGACCTACTCGACTTACAACCACCAGGACATACGACCGCCTCAGTTGTACCAAAATTTTGTTAACTTACGTATTTTCGAGTCCCAACGTCAGTGATTGCACTGTGTACTGACAAAATTTTTGTTTGTAATTCACTTTAAAATGGCTGGCAAGCTTAAAAGTGAGAGTTTTGTGGTGCTGAGAAGAAAAAGAGAGAACCATTTTAGATTTTTTATGTATTATTTAAGCATTTTTGACTTACGACCGTTTCGACTTACGACCTGGATTTGGGTCCCTAACCCCATCGTAAATCGGGGAGCAGCTGTATTTATTATACTGTATTAGGTCACTAAATTAAATTTTTTCTTCAAGAATTGTTCAACATGGCATAAATTCAAACCTACCAAGAAATAATGTTAAATGAAAGTTAAAGTTATGCACAATGCACAATTATTAATGAAAATTGAATATGCAACCTTCCTGACAATTTTTATGTCCCCTTGAAATAATAAGTTGTGACAATGGAAATTGTGAAAAGTGTAAAAATAAATTCTTCTAAGGTTTATGACATGGAAAAATTACCGTATTTGCCGGCGTATAAGACACATTTTTTATTTATTTTTAATGTATCCCAAATTACCCTGCGTCTAATGAGCCCGTATTACAGATGGGAGGCCGAGCACCGTAGACGGAGGTGCCTACTTCGGTAGTCTGGGACGAGCAGTAATGCACTAAGCACAAAAATTGTGTTACTAATAATATTACCCATAATAAAATACTGAAAAAACAAGCCAAATTATCACAATCTATAATCACAAACTTATGGCAAATTTGCCGAAGACGTAAATAATGGCTTACATGGCTTAACGGCAGAGGGAAGCTCACAACATCTTACTGTACCTCCTTCCCCAGCATATGTAACCCACACCAGATACACGTCTTACAATATTTAAGGACTGTATTACCTTTAAGAAACATTTGTTTATTATCTAAATGAAAAATGTCCCTAGAAAGATTAAAGAAATGTTAACATTAAGTTCAGCCGCCAGTCAGCCATTTGAAATGACTCGATGACGCCAAAACAATAGCGATGGTGCTACACCCTGGTGGTAGATCGCGGCAACACAAAACATCACAGCCAAAAATACGAGTTTCACATCCTGTCGGTAATTCTCTTGACCAAAATATAAACAATCCACACAGCTGCTCTGATCAGAGGTAGAGTTGGGTTAGTATAATGTTGTTATATATGATTAACTACTTTATTCCAGTATACATTGTATTTACATGCACAAAATCACATGTTTTCCCCGACAAAACCACTTTAAATAATTGTATGACGAAACTTACTAAAAAAAAAAAAAAATCCACAAAATATCCTTGTAAAATAGGGGTGCGTCTTATGCGGTGGTGAGTCTTATATGCCGGCAAATACGATATATGCATGACTCCTGGTTGTTTCCCAAAGAAGAAATATTGACTTATCTGTACCGTATACTCTTCAGATACAAGCTTTTTCATTTGCCTTTGTCACTCTTTAATGAATATGGGGTTATTAGAAAAGAGACCAAAGCAGTCTTCATAAATGCGTTAGCAGTATTTGCATACCATAACAAATTTGTACCATAAAAAATTGCATAGTAATGTACTGTACTTACCAATGAATAATTCACTCATTAAACCAATTTTGTTTTAATGAAAAATAACAGGGAAGCACACCAACACAGATGTATGTGTCTGCACACACCTTTGGAGCTTACTACACATACATCCCTCACCTTCATGAATTCCTGTATGCTGGTCAAGACACAAGAGATGGAATTGCAATGTCACCCAACTACCCACGAACTGTACAACTCACAGGATCTCACCCGGTACTTTATGCTGCACGAGGATCACATGGACTTTGGGGAGCTCCAGGTAAATTCTTTCTCAACTTAAGTTTTTGAGCCACATAAAAACTGGGAGCCATCACAGACGACGGTAATTTTGCAATACATGAATGTATTTTCTACAGGTACAAGGTCATTTTTTTTTATTCAAGAACCCTAAATGATTATTATATTTTAGGACATGCAATAAACAGGAACCTAAAAATCAGCAGGATTAAAGTCTGATAATAAGATTGTAAAGAAATAAAATATTCCTAGCTATGTGGTACTGTACCAACACTACCATAGCTCAAATTAGGAAGCCTACGAGGCTGTACAGTATAATGGCTGTGAAAAAAATTTGAGAAAAGAAACAAATGTAACACTACCATAAGCACTTCATACACTGTAGCTAGTTGTTCTTTACATTAATAATAATAATATAGTACAGTTAACCCTCACTTTACGCGGTTAATGTAACCCGGAGGGTCCCGCGTAAAGTGAGAAACGCGTAAAGTGAATAACATAACATATGGGATTAATTGAAATGGAGTCCGGGCCGATCCCCAAACTCCACTTTTTGACGACACACAACTATGTTGTAGTGAAAATATTATCTTAACTTTATGATGGTATGCACACACAATTAATAATTAAGAGAAATATCAATAATATTAGGTTTTTTAACACTTACATTAGTAGAAAAAATGGCTGGGCACACGGGGATGGGCGGTTGGTTCCGAGGCAGAGGGCAGATTATTGGCCCTCACCTGTGTCACTTGTATCAATTGTATCACTATCCACCACAGAGGCTTGCAGGGCCTCTTTGTCAAACTCCCCAAAGTCCATATAAGTCCATATCCTCACCATAATTATCACTATCACTGACTTGGGCCGGCTGTGGCGGGTGAAGAACTGGTAATGTTTTGATGACTGAGCGACCTTGTGCGCACCATGTTCGCGCAGCTTACACAACATGGCGGATGGCGGGAGGTTTGGATCCAAAAATGGCGCGGCTCGCCAGCCGCTCTCCGCGTAAAGGGGTACACGCACTGCGGAATGTGAGCATCCTGGGTTCCGGCAGGGCACCGCGTAAACGTGGAAACGCGGAATGCGGGACCGCGTAAAGTGAGGGTTAACTGTACTGTACTGTATATGTACTATACTGTACTTCATTTTATATTTTAATACTGTACTGTACAGGCATCCCTAGGGTTGTGGAATTTCTGGTTACGGAATTTTGCCCTTACAGACTTGAAATTTAGACCACAATTTCGGGTTACAGAAAAAAAAATCGCCCTTGCGGAATTTTTTATTTATTTCCTAATTTAAAGATGCTAATATGAGTTGAAATTTAAAAAAAAAATAGTAAAAAAATATTTCGTGTGGATGTATCTGCTGTTAGAGGGCCGCTCACCTCCACAGTTGCCAACATTCACCACAACAATGTAGCTGCTCAGTTAGAATTCTTTCCCCAGCTTGTGTTCAGTTATGCATCTGTGTTTACAACTTTATTCGCCCTTACGGAATTTTGGTTAATTTATTAAGATTTTCAAAGAAAAAATCGTGATACACGTAGAACAAAAAATTTCACCTAAAGGATAAAATTTATTTCGTGTGGATTCTAGTGGTAGCTACAAGATGGCTGCCAGGCAGCTCACCTCACCAGCTGCTAGCAGCCACAGCAATGGCACTGCTCAGTTTGAATTCTTTCCCCAGTTTGTGTTCAGTTTTGCGTCTGTGTTACTATGTACCCTTATTCAAGATGAGTGGAAAAAGACCATCAAGTTCAAGTGAAAGCAGTGGTGATAAAAGATTCCATAAAGAAATTGCATTGAACATTAAGCTTATGTTTTAAGGAGGTAACTCCCAGTAACTCTGATCCCACATCACCTCACCACTTTCTGCAGCACTCAACATCGTCTCTGGTAAGTAAAATTTTAGTGTTTTGTGAATTTATTATCATGTTACATCATGAATGACTCATTGTATGTGGTTAAAACCATCTAATTTCATACATATACTGTACAGTATGTGCTTGGGTCACATTTTTGGTCCTCAAAAAATTTCCTTGGGAACTCATCTCAACTTTTATAATTGAAGTATATATAGGCAAATGGTTTCATGTTACAGAAAGACTTTCAGAAACAGAACCCTTCTGTAACTCAGGGGATGCCTGTACTATATCAAACAGCCTTGTCTACCTCACTCTCTAGCTACCAAGTTTTTCCTGTATTTAACAACCCTAAAGCTTCCTAATGCCAGGATAGACATTTTAGAATTCTATTCCAGTAACAACTGTACATCACCAATGACTATTCTATTAAAGAAAACTAAAAGTTTGTTGTACTTTAACCAACTGAATACTTTTCAAAATCCACAAAATAGACATATGAATTTCTTTGAACCTTCTATGCCATTTCACTTAAAATTCTCAAAGAAAACATGCCTTCCCGAGTTCCTCGTATCTTACTAAATCCATTGTGTTCTTCAAGTAACCTATTGTCTAACTTAGTTTCTACTGCTGAAAATTACAGTACAGTATATTTATAAAATTTACATACCGAGTACACAACTTTCTGAACTATTTGTTCTAAACAGGCATTCTAAGGCTATTGGTTTTCAGGTTATAAAAAAAATAATAACATTTTTAAATCACTGTAAAGGTCTTCATTTTGGTTAAATTTGTTACTTATTTTGGTCAAACAATTTATCCAATTCCTGCCCATTTTTCATATCTTTTCAGTTCATCTATATACTATGCCCATCGTTCTTTTAGTCCTTCTACCTCATTTATGTCAAAAACACTTGAAGCAAATATGTGTTTTGCAACAACCCATTCTTTTCTCTATTACAATAAGCCAAGGAATGAAAATCTACTGGATAATGTAATACTAAGCATTATGATCATCTTAGGTATCCATCAGTACATGTGGCTGCCACTTCTTAAGGATGACACAGGGATGGGCACAGCATGGAAGACCTGGCACAATGTGGACATAATAGATTTAGAAGACCCAACAGGAACATCACCACACAGGTAATATAAAAAACTATAAGCTGAAAGTGACCAGATTCAAATTTATATCTTGACCTTTAGAGTCAGACAGCACCTTATTAGGACAATACTATACAGTATCCTTTAATTACCACATTACAGTGGAGGTCACTCATCTGAGCAATGGGCTCTCTGGCTATTGATGTTTTAGCTGTGATTATGATGTTTATCCAAAATCAATTGATAACAGCTACTGCACTCAGCTCAAATTTGAAATACATTTAGAACTTTATTTTGATTTTTAATGTTTTACATTTAGATTTGAAACAAAAAAAGAATAACATTTATTGTAATGAATACAATAACCCTGTCAGTGGTATCATTGGATATTATGATGTCCATAGTACAGTACTGTACAAAGCTATCACCATTAATAAATTTTAATTTTGTGCCATATTTTGAATGCCTTAAGCGGTGCACACATAGATAATCGAGATATTAAATTCGTAATTCACCAGAAAAAATATTCATATTATTTTGTGAGCTTTCATAGAAGTCAAAAAAGATTATGCCATTCTGATTTTTTGTGCACTGGGGTATACTGACCAAATAAGATGTGCATTTAAAATGTTAAATAAATTACCTTAAAAGTGCATATCAGGTAAATGGATACATATAAGTTGAGTTTGATCTAACATTATCTCCATACAATATACTGTACTGGTAATTGTGTAATTTTACATACGGCATGTTTACCATTCTGTTAGTCATGTTATAAGATATTTCCTAAAACATGCGGATTTTAGCTGGTGCTTTAATATTTAAGTGACTGAACACAACTTTCATGGGAATAATTTTGCATAGCCCACTATATCCACCATGCCAAGTGATAAGTACTGTATGGATCTATGTCAGCACTTAAGAGAGGAAATTGGCCTGCCTCATGTAGGGTGTGAGAGCCCCAGCTAATCTGTGTCTGATCATTAAGTGTGATACTTAACCCTATGCTGGGATTCAAGGTCCCTGGCATACCCATGCCTTACTGCTTGGTCACCAATATTCAGTTGCATCATCAGATTGGTTGCGCATGTAACATGTTGGTAGGCTGATGAAACTATATATGTACTGTATTGTACTATATCTTATATGCAAAAGACTAAACCCACTAAGTCACCCTGACACATGCTCCCCAACTGGCTGATGCCCAAGAACCCACTCAGTTGGAATAATGTTTTTAACATTGGCTATGCAGTGTAGGCATCTTTTTTCTTAAATCAAATTTGGTAATTTTTCAGTAAATAGTCTATAGAAAATACAGTACTCTGCATAGGTTCCCTCATTTAAAAAACAGATGTGCTCTGAAAATATTTTAATGATTTAACCATAGACTTGCAACTGTTTTCTTAGTTGTTCGGGAGCTAGGTGAACACGTTCGGGGGCTAGCTCCCCACACATGAATGGGTTTCAAACACCTTTCTGAGTTCAAACTCTGTCTAATGATTTCTGTGGATGCCTTTAAAGGAGACAGCTTAAGACCTTTTTTTTTTTTTAAAGTTTATAATACCTGAACAGGATACGGTGGTAGAGAATTACAGGATTTAGGAAGTATTAAAACCTAATGGTATATGAACTACCTGTATATGAACAATAGAAATCGAACTGTCACTTTTTGTGATCTTTTATTATAGTACATTATTCCTTTTTATTCACAAGTTTTTGACTTTGTAGTGTTTCGAGCACTAGTGAATTCTTTAAAAGAACTGGTGCTTTTGAGAAACAAAATGTATAAAGAAAGGAGCAAAAAGTTGAGTTAAATGTCAGGTATAGAAAAAATCACAGTGAATGACAGCTGTCTGCCTCTCCTTTTCAAGGTCAGTGGTGTCATTAATGCTGTACAGATAATTATGGCACTTGATACAACTGATTGCACTTTTTATGTACAGTACAGTACAGTATCATAAATGCAAGCACATATATTTTTCTCATGCATGTTTGTTTTAAAATACAGTACAAAAAATTATAACAAGCAGTCCCTAATTTACAAAGGTTCAGTTTACAAAAATCTGACATTACGAAACCCCCCCAAAAAACTCCTGATTCAATTTATGAAAAATATTCATAATTTTTGTAATATTTTCTTAAATAATCATGAAAATATGCTAAAATAATGTCTGTTTTGCTTATTTTACTATTTTGCTTTATTATTCTTTAACTTGCAATATTATTAAGTCTACAAATAAACGTTCAATGCGCCATCATTCTCCTACAATCATTGTACAGTATAACTTATTCCTCAAACTCACTGGGGACAAGTAGAATCATCTCCAACAGGACAGTCACTCAGCCAGTTGCCTGATTGTACAATTTTCCTCATTTAACCCTCTTGCGCATCATAACACGAATTGCACAATTAAACGTTAAAAAATTCGCCAAAATTGTTTTTCTTCTCAAGACAATTGCATCAAATTTTCATGTGTCATAGACGACTACATGCTCTTGCAAGGGAAGCTTCCAGAAAATACAAAAGTTTGGGTGGAGTTCTGCTGTCCATCAATTTTCTCCCATAAGCCTTGCTGGTAGGTCCCATTTTTCTCTTTATTTTCTCTCCCATCCTCCCCACAATTAGCCATATCAAAATTCCAAAGCCACCACTAGAAAGCTCATAAAATTTTGCTTCTATAACTACATAATACCTTGGTAGGTTTGTGAAAAAGATCTCATATGATGCTGGGAACACAAATACCTAGTACAGTATTTTTTTCTTTATTCGGAGTAAAAAAATATAATACTGTAGTCTTATTCTCGTCTCACTATTTTCTTTTTCTGCTTATGTTAATGCCAAAACAATAAATGAACCCAGTGATATATAAATCATGCAAAAAAATTCTTGTGGAATAAATTGGCTACAAAACAAAGATGACCAGACACCTGCGAGTGTTCCCATATGACTTGTCTAATGTAATGTTTTTATGTGAATACTGTATCAGTGTATGTTTAATTGTCATGATGAACTTCTGTATATTACAGGCACTGGTGGTCATACAACGGACGGTGGGGAAATCCAAGCATCAAGTGCCATGTGCTCATGGTTGGCTTTTGTGAACTTGGCAGAGGCCCAACAGGAATTCAAAGAAAGAGAGTAAACTTTCCATGTCAAAATGCTAATAGCAGAACTCCATAACTTTGCAATCAATGCTCATCATGATTCATGGATTTTAATAGCCTGTAAGACTGGGATCCCATGTTATTAAAGTTAACTTTAATAACAAAGCATGGAGTTGACTTGAAGGTAGACATATACAATACAGGTAGAAGAAATTACTGTCTCTAGAACGAATGGCTCCGTCCCGGCCACAAAAATGACAGCAAACTTTAAAAACTACTCTTAGACATTTTTGGGTACTGTACATCCAGGGTGTCATCCGCGAATAATCAAGGTCCGTGAATTAAAAATCCGCAAATTGTCAGGGCATGCTGTGCTGTACAATTGTCCAACAATGTGGTGTCACAGTTTCCAAAACATTTACATCAGAATGTAATATCTGGCAATTACCAGAACTTTCTTTTTTTTTCGAGGTGGAACGCAATTTTGTGAAACAGTAACCAAAATTAAATAATAAATGCGATAAGTTTTTCTTAAGAATATTATAAAAAGAAATCATGTACTAGTTAAAAATTAGAAAAATTACAATACCTTACATAAAAAAAAAAAATATTATGAGTATGCCAAGATGGCTGCACTACTAACACGGTGCCCATTCCCCAGACTAAACTTTGTGTGAAGCACCTGAGCTCACATACACAATGATATCTTTTGATAAAAAAGTCTGAATACTGTTTGTAATTCACATTACACAATATTTCCAACCAGTTTAGTCATATAAAGTGCCAATGAAACAACTGAAAAATGCCAGAGGACTAGTATAATGAAGACACCTTTAATATTAGCTGAATACAGAAAGCAAAATATGATCAATGTTAGAATAAACTATCATCAAATCACAGACCTAACTATAATCTACAAACTTGATACTATTTCAACAATGTTTTTCAGTAAAAATTTGAAAGGGCCTCCATTCATTATAGTGGAGCGGCATAGCTACAATTTTCATAACAATTGTGCATTTAATGATGAAAGCACCAAATTTGGCACAGCGATGGAGTAATGGTATATGAACATTTTCAGATATGGAACCACTCGATACTGGATTTGAGTGGCCGCTATAAATGAGGGGCGGATCCCGTAAAAAAATTCAGGTTTCACCACGTTACTGTCTTAGTCCTGTGAGACCGTCTAATACTGCAAAGCATAGGGAAATAATAGGCTATAGGAAGAAAGAAAAGGTCAAACCCCAGTAATCACCTTGGATCAACCATTGTTTGCAATAGCCAAACAGATTCAGTGGAATTGGCCCGAAAATTAAGGCGAAGAGAAATTTATTATGATTCTGGGCGGTCTCCACATTGAAATGGCGGCTCTGAGGATGACAGGCAGTTGGTTGCAGGGTAGCAGGTGGGCAGAAACCCTGGTGCAAGCCGATATTGCCAGCCCAGGAACTGCGAACTCTTTCTTAAAGGCTGCTCACGTCACACGCACCAGGCGAGGCCATCAGATAACAGCAGCAACCCTGAACATCCTACAGCACAAGGCTTATGGCAAATACACTGAAGATGCCCAAAGTGATGGTCATGAGCCCCTAGAGTTTGGTGTCTGGTGTCAGCAAAGGGCTGAATGTTGTCCCCAGTTTCAGTACTGGGCAACCACCCTCAACCTAGAGCTAAGTATCTTTATGTTTGTTAGATCACTACGAGAATCAAACTTCTCGCTATACATGGATGCTCTGGCTGAACTGTGTCAGTGGTTCTTAGCCTTGGATCATACTCATTATTCTCGGTGGGTTCCAGTCCACCTGAAGGACATGACAGAGCTCTCGGACAAGCATCCTGATGTGTCTGCAAAGTTTCAAGCTGGACATTTCACTGCAAAAAAGACAGCCTGCCATTTTTCTGCAATGGCACTAGACCAGGCCCATAAGCAGAACAATGCCTTCATCAAAGGTGATGGTGGTGCAGTCGGTTTGACTGGAAACCCTAGTGCACTTCGGCGGTGGATGGTTGCAGGTCCAGAAGTAGCACGGGTCATTGCTGAATTTGAATCATCGCAGAAAGCTGAGCAAACCAAGGCTAACTTCCACCATCATGAGCAAGCCAACACGGCGCAGGACAAGTTTCTTCAGGATGTGAAAGCACTTACTCTTGTCATGGAAGAAATGGGAAACCCATTTGAAGAAGAAAGTGCTGACCTAATGGTTCTTCATACAAAGGAAATCTTTTGTCCAGAACACGTGAAGAATGTGCAAAATGTTGTCAAGCTTGGACGAGAACAATTCCATTCATATGTAAGAGAACGCCTTGAAGACAAGTCTAAGCCTATTGGTGACACTATTAAGCTCAACAAGCTAACACTATTCAGTTCTATGAAATCCAAGTCTCCAACTAGGAGTAAGCAGCAACTAGCCTTCGACTATGGATTCTTCTCCAGGCTGTACATAGCCTGTCAAACAAGAGAGGGTGATTTGGACGAATTCTTCAAGCATGAAAACCAGGCCTATCCACCAGCACTCTCCAGTAATGGGAAACTCCGCTTCAGCAAGAAAGCAGACTTACTCACACCTCTTGAACAGCTTGCTGACAAGATCACTGACGCTCCACATGTCACCTCAATTATACTCGATGGACCTGCCGTTGTGGAAATGTTGAAGCCAGGAGGCAGTAGGACATTTCAAGAATACAGCACAGCTGTATTCATTCCCTATATTGAATCACAGCTCGAATATCGATCTCGACTTGACCTGGTATGGGATTGCTACCTGAAATCTGGGAGCTTAAAAGCAACAGTAAGATGTAACCGTGGCAAGGGCATTCAAAGAAGCGTCACTGTCTCTGGTCCTCTACCTAGCAACTGGCAAAATTTTCTCAGCAACAGTGACAACAAAGAGAAACTCTTCAGCTTCCTGTCAGAACAGGTTATTCAGTTGGTTGTCAAAGAAAGTAAACAGCTGGTTGTCACAGACAAGAAACAGGTACTCACTGTTCCACCCCGGAAGGACACAGCCAACTTGGCACCATTCAACCACGAAGAGGCCGACACTAATATGATGGTTCATGCAGCTGATGCCTTGGAATGTGGTCATCGGCGAATACTCATTCGTACCGTCGATACAGATGTTGTCATCCTTGCAGTTGCTCTAGCGAATGAACGGAGTGAGGTACTAGATGAACTATGGCTTACCTTTGGCACAGGAAAGAATCGATGTTACATAGCAGCACATCAGATTGCAAAGGCCCTGGGACCTGAGAAGTTGAGAGCTCTTCCAGTGTTTCACGCAATAACGGGCTGCGACACGGTATCTGCCTTTGCAGGTCATAGCAAGAAGGCAGCCTGGGCCACATGGAATGCATTTCCAGAAGTGACAACCGCCTTCCTCAGTCTGGCTTCCACCCCAAGTGAGCTGCCTGATGGTGTCCTGTCGACACTGGAGAGATTCATCGTGCTGCTCTATGACCGTACGAGCACATGCTGTGACGTGAACATGCTGAGAAAGAAACTGTTTTCAAGAAAATCAAGATCACTGGAGCATCTCCCACCAACACGAGCAGCTCTGGAGCAGCACATAAAGAGAGCTGCTTATCAGGCTGGACATATCTGGGGACAGGCCACAATAGCGTTTGTCAGTCTGCCATCACCATGTGACTGGGGTTGGATAAAGTCGGGAGATGAGCTGGAACCACTCTGGACCACACTATCTGAAGTGTCAAAGTCATGCCACGAGCTCATCTCTTGCGGTTGCAGAAAACACTGCGGTGGCAAGTGTAGGTGCAAAAAAGCTGCACTTAAATGCACTGAACTGTGTGCATGTGAAGGTGGCTATTAAGGCCAAATATCTACAGAGATTCGGCCTCAATAGCTGAATGTTTAGAAAAAATTTTAAGTTTTGGGAGTTCGGAAAATTTGTATGTTAATTTTCCAGTGTAATGCTTTTACTTGTCTTTTTCATTGTAATAAACTTCGAAAACTATCACAAATGATTTTCGTAACCCGGATTATGTATATTGAGGCACTGGAATGAAATATGCAACCGTAAAAACAGAAATACATGGTTTAGCGTATCCTGAACGGCGGCCATCTTGAAATTCAATATGGCGCCCACGAGGTTGAGTTTCTAGTGGTTCCATATCTGAAAATATTCACCATGTATTACTCTATATCTGTGCCAAAGTTATAGCTTTCATGATAAAATGCACAATTGTTTGGCTATGCCGCTGTACTATTAGATATTATCTATAATTCTAGATCGTGACAAGTGACTCATACGATCACTTAAATCAAAAGGAATGCCTGAATGTGTGATCTTTATTGAGACCTTCAGGTGAAACAATGTTATTTAATGAAAATTAAAATATAATTTTCAACCAGGAATATGCAACATGTTTATCCTTAGAATTTCCCTATCCCCACTACTTAAATTTTTCTTTTCATTAAAAGTTTCTCAGTCCTTTAAATATTAAAAGCCTCCCAATCCTTTAAATATGCTTTATCACACAAAATACTGTTGTACAGTATTATCACATTTTCAAGTAAGAGAAATAACTGCAAACTGTACCAAATTACAATATTGTTCTGTTGTATAATAACATATTTTGGGTACACAAATGGTATAGCGATAAGATAAAGTAAACAAAGTCCTCCGATGGCAAATTCCTCAACTATCACTAATTATGTATCAAAGAACCATATATCTGTCAAAAATCACCAAAGCAAATCTAATTTGTGAAAGTCCATTAAAAATTGTTGAACAATTTGATTTTACATACTTTATAATACAGTGGTCCCTCGGTTAACGAGCACAATCCGTTCCAGCAGGTTGCTCGTTAACCGAAACCATTGTTTCAATGGGTTTTTGGGTAATTGGTTCCAGCTCACCGAAAATTGCCTAAATTCAACAAAAAAGGTAGAAAAGTACACTTACTTTGAGGTGTGTATGTAGAAGGCTCCTGGATGATGATGATGGGAATTAGAATGGGGGTGGAGGAGAAGGGAGAAGAGAAGGCTTTGGGGTGGAAGAGAAGTCACTCCATGGCACCATTTCACCCATAAAATTTTAGTTCTCTTGGTGTAATTCAAGATTATTTTCTTTAAATCAACACTGCTCTGCATTATATATTGTCAATATGTAAAATAAATTTCAAAATGACCAATAATTTGCTTGGAACACAGAAAAAAAGCATTTAGTTGAAGAGAGTCTCAAGCAAAATGTTACCTCCACTGAAAACAGAGAGAGACTAACGCCTGTCTGGTGTGTTAACAGGCTGGATGGCATGCCAGAAACTAGTTTCTTTACCTTCAATTATGTTCAATAATTGTTAAAATGAATAAAAAAGTTAATATTAAACTTTTAAAATTATTGAATAGTATAAACTTCTTGATATTTACTAAAATAGTAAGGAATTTAAGCCCTAAAACCAATTACTGTATAGGCGGACTACTACTACAGCTGGTGGACCGCCAAATGCAAGCGAAAACATGTTGAAGTCGGCTCGTAAAAAACTCGTTAATCGAGGGATTGCTCGTTAACCGAAGTTAAGAATCTTATGGAAGGTAAATCATTAACCGAAATCTCGTTAACCGAGGCGCTCGGTAACCGAGGGATCACTGTACATAAATTTTAATTACAGTACTTACAGACTGACACACACACCATACACACATTGATTGCTATTTCCCTCTGTTCAGGATGGGGGTATAAAGAAGAAACAGAGTTTGTCAAACTAAATCCTCTTTCCTTCTTTTGGAAAAAAAAACTAAGCAAGATGGCCACATAAGTACTTACCTGTAAAACAAAGCAGCCACCAAAGCCCAAGCCATTCAGTAACAAGTTGGTCAACTTCTTTATGTGGTCTCGGTTATATATGTCAGGGATAATCAACACTGCACGGTAAAACTGCAAGAAACAATACAGTATACTTGTTAGTTCTCTATAAACAGTGTCTAGTTAATATGATAAAAGAGAAGAAAAAATTTAATTATCTTCAAGTGTGTGTGTGTGTGTGTGTGTGTGAGAAATCATGGGATACACATACTGGAAGTAGCAGTGGGCATAAATAAGGAGAGAGCATGGTGTAAAGTGATTAGGGGGTAAAGGAAGTGCTACTGAAGAATGATGTTGGATATAGATAGGCATAAACCACATGGATACTTGAGGCCTTGTATGCCTGAGAGAACACATCTATTAAAGCAGCGAGTACAAGATACAGTTATGATATACAGGAATACTTCGCTAGTCACGACACAGATATTTGCAACCCCACTTATCTGCAATTGATATTTTAACACTCCTATTCAATATCCGCAAATGACAAATAACGCTACCCTACAGTAATATTTCAAACCAGGTAGGCTAGCCGCAGCTCTCATATTCCACTGTAAGGCTCTCTTCACACGAGCATCTTTTTTTTTTCTGCGTATGGTCCCAAGCGGTTTTTTCCACGCGTACAGACCTCCACGGTTTAGAAATAACCAAAGTTTAATGGGACAGCTCACATGGAGCATACATGTGAAAATTTACACCACTACCTTCATACCATAATTTTACCACACACAGGCTATGATGCTGTAGTCTCTATTGTGTAGTACAGATCATCTTCCTACCTAATATAACCCACTTTATGATTAGGGAGTGAAGGTGGTTGTGTGCAGTACTGGCCACAATGCCTCCTTGTGTATTGAAGAAGGGTTAGTCCCCATTGTCCGGTTTTCTCAATGCCTCTAACAGGCTGCCAGGCACATGGTACTGTACCCACTTTTATCTTTAGGTCCCTCAAACTACTACAAGAGATTACTGTACAGTATTTCTAAATGGTACCAATGTTGTTGGACCGATCAAAGAAAGCAAACACATAATTCATCTGATAACATCTCAAATCTGAATAAACACCTAAGTTATTAAACTACATTATCCCAGTAATTTCTTAAAACACCAAAGAGATATTCATTATCTGATATATATCTAACTGTTCATTTGCAACTGGAATAAAACTTTTATAATGTGAAATTCTCAGAGATTGTGATATAAACAGCTACTAAAACAACTCATGGATGACAGACATAATATATGTAAAGCATGATGAAACTTGTAAAGTTTCAGTCATTGCACCTGGCTGGAGGCATTCAAGTGAGACTGTCAAGAAACAAAACTGTGCCATCATGAGTTGAGGAGCAGGTGTTTGAAATAACAATTCAAAAGTTCTCCAGAAGTGCATCAGGGCACTAAAACTAAACCCACCAGTTTAATATCACGGGAGTTTATTCAGACTTCACAGGTTACCATTTTTAGTTAATTGTTAATTCATTTGGTGCATTTAGATGATAATTCCTATAACTTCCTCAAATGATTTTGCAAGTTTTGTCTCTTGAAACCCCCAAATAACTTAATATCCAGATCAAATATTATTCAGAGCACATTCACTGCAGAAAACAATTAGGTTAGGCTAGGTTGGCATTAGCTAGTTAATTTTTAGGTTAAATAAATTTGGATTACTAGAAGAATCTCCATCCCAGCTTATTCCTATCTGAAACAACCAACTTAACTCACCCATCACATTGACTATGACTGGGGGGTGAGGTGGTGTGTTGTGCATATGTTAATAATCCGCCAGTAAAAATTTGAAGATCAAGTAAACTGTGTGTCTCACACAAAGATCATAGCAGCCAGAGTACAAGCCAGCATGCTTACTGGCTACTAACAGGAATTCTTTAAGAAACAAACAAAAACACTCAGCCTTACAATGCAAAGTAAGTTTTCTCAACTCATGTAACTGTCTTAATTACTGTAAGGCAAACTGAAAGATTTAGAATGAAATTAGCACTCAAATAAATAAAAAAGATTATCATTTACCATGCAATAATGACACCAATAAGTTACATATGGAATTCCAAAACCTGAAGAGTTGGTTATCAGTGTGGTGATTGGCAAATACAGTAGCAGGTATTATGAAGGTGATACTGGACTTTTTTATGACCAAAAATGGGTCCAATATATCATGACTGAAGATGTGTTTGAAGCATGTGAGCCAATGAACAGGAGTCAACATAGTCAACTTAATAGACATGAAATCCTCACTGGCCTATGGGTCAACTGATGGTTCAAGTGAGATTGAACAACCCAAATTTAACTGGCAAAACATTATCTGGCTACAGTACTTAGTTTTTGATAGTGTACCTGTCATTAAATAGGCTTTCATTGATAAGAAAGCAGAGAGGACTTTTGATGGTTTGGTTCTCTCATAGGCCACCCACTTCCTCTCATCAGTAATAAAATGTAATTTTTATTTTTTGGGGCCCCCATAGTGCTATCTCTGTCTAATAATAACTAACACAAAGAAGCCTAACCTTAAGATCCTTAAGTGGGACATTCAGAACTGTGGAGATAGAGTGACCCCAGATGGTCTCTAGGTCAGCCAGCACAGCACTAATAGAACCACCCAGACCAGTGTGGATGTTGAGGTCACCACGCACAATGGGAAAATGAATACTGTATTCCAGACTGGGATGCAGCGAAAGAATCTGAAATGGAGCACAAGTAATACAGTATTTACAGTTAAGTACAGTACAAATTTGTATTATGTAAACAATTCTAAATCAAACTGTCAAATTTCATGACTGATTCAGACTGCATCAACTAAAATAGATAACGTCCCACACTTTAGAGACATAATAGTGCCAAAACTATCTAACAGATCAGAGATGAGTGAAATAAAATATTTATATTGTAGTTCTATATTAGAGAAAACTCTTCAATTACCAGACTAATTCATGCAAGCCTTCTGTTATTGACAGGATTCCTCTACTTGGAGTGTTTCCTTTTTACCCCCACCATCAAAGCACACATCTCATATGGTATTGTACAGTATATAGCTATTCAACTTAACTTAATTCTGGGGCTTCACTACCTTAACTTCTTTCTTTATGCTAGCCTTGTGTAAACATGACAATAAAACACAGAAATACTTTACACAGATAATTTTTTTTTATATAAAATGTGTGCTTACAGGAAATATTAGAGTGTTTTACAGCTTAATACTAAGTAAGCTTAGTGTGTTGTTTGGCATCATGTTAGCTGCCGTGATCTTACTGGGGTAGCCCACTAATTATATTCGACAAAGAGACATCTGTTATTGAGAATATCTGGTAATCGGAATTCATTATTGAGAGGGTTTACCGTATTAAGAAATATATTACATAAGTTCTCTACCTCATCACCAATAATATATTCCTTGTCACAATTCACCCATGGGGGTGATGGCTCTGCTTCTTCATCTTCAACAGGTTGTATACGCTTGTTATATACAGCAATCTGCTGGGGAGGTGTAGCGAAGCGCCGGGATCCATCTGACATGAGAGACGACTGCAGGATGTGACTAACCTTCAGTCGACACTCTTCCAACTCTTGTACAGCATCTGCATCCTGTAAAGCACATAAATTAAACTCAAACTACACTTAATCATAAGCATATGGTAAAAAATAAAAAAAGCATAATATTATAAACTACATAAATAGATAATAAATAAAAAGTGAAACAGTATAAAGATCTGCACTACAAAAGTGCAAAAGGCATCTCCCATCTAAATTTTGTTTTTGATAAAATATAAAGAGTATTTTGTTGAGTAGATGGGGAGAAAATTATGGCTTCTATGGATGGCCTTCACAACTTCAACTTGTTGGTCATGAAGAAGCATATGGATGAAACATATTAATTCAAAATATGAAAAATCAAAATTTTGTTTTTGTTTTTTTAAGTGATTACAATGTGAAGTGTCTGAAATATGGCACATCATCATCAATGCTTTACAGACATTTTCCACACTTGCGTGGGTTAGCTGTGAATACCCAATGACAGTTGTTGGGTAAAACCAGAACAGGGTGTCCACCCCTGTTCACCACCACAAACATAGGGTGCCAGCCCAGAAAATGCAACAGTGACCAGGGGATGGGCACAGTTCTGGTGACCCAGTTGCCATCAGTCATATTGAAGCAAAGTTTTTACGTTTTACTTTTATCCTCTTCACCACTGATCGGCTTGTTAGCCACTTGGGCAATCGGTCACGTCTCTGTTACGAACTGTTGGCAAGTAGGCCTACTGAGCATGCACCGGCTCTTGAATGTACTTGAACCTGCTCCAGTGTTGGTCAAATCTGGTCTTGAAAGAGCTCACACTCGGTGCCGTAACAACACTTTCTGGCAGATTGTTCCAAGAGTTCACAACTCTCACTCCGAAAAAGTTTACCCTCACAGTTTTCTGGACCTGCGGCATTTTTAGCTGTGACCCCTTGTGGTGGCGAGCGTCCGCCAGCTCCAGGTAAGGACACTTGACAGAGGAGTGCCCCTTGAGATGCTTATACACCTCAATTAGGTCGCCCCTTACCCGTCTGTAGTATAAGCTAGGCAAGTTCAGGCCTTCCAATCTCTCGGGGTAGTTGAGGTGCCGAAGCGCAGGCACCAGTCTGGTGGCCCTCCTTTGAACCTTTTCAATCAACTGACAGTGACTGGGTGCCCCGATTAACACCAATTCACAGGGTGAGAACAGCTAGCAAGGCAGGGTCGCAACTCCCTGAGGCAACCATAAAAATATCTACCCATTAAGTGAGACTGCATCCACATAAAAAAATCAAGGTGATTGATGCTAAATGCATCAAATGGGTAAAATGATGTAAAAAGTGAATTGAGTGGTAGAGTATTACAGTAACAAAAAAAAGATGTTTCCACATGGGCTCAAACCTGAGTCTCCAGATTTACTGACAGATGTATCAAAAACATCATGTGGTCTTAGTTTTTGTTCTTCTTTTCCCTTACCTACACTTGCATTAAAATCATCAATCATAATTAACATTAACTGAACTTATAGCTTCTTTTGCCTTCTATAATTCTTCATCAACTTTTTCTAAAAACAAATTCTCATTATTATTTGTTAGTGCATACACCAGAATTATTAACAAGTCCCTGAGTTTTGTGCTCAACAAAGTAAACTGCCTGAGAGTACCAAAAATTTCTTTACACAACTACCCAACTTCTGCTTTTCAAGAATACTGTACCATCACTGCTCTCATCCTTTTCAACACCTGAATACTGTATATCCAGTGACATCCTTCTTTACTTATGCTACAAAAATCTGTCCTTAGTTCGTGTAATTCTAAAACAACCCATTGAAATCATGTCTTTTCCCTGTAAACATGCACGAGTATATACAGTACAGTATTTCCCACACCCACATTATGTCCAAGTTCCTTTTTCTGTTTTCAGCTACTCCTTCAGGTTGCCAGATTTTTGTTTATTGTCAAAAATTTTTTTTTGCTCAGAAAGTGTTTGCTTTGCCCTCAGTGACAGTATTAATTCTCTGTGGTCCACGGTGGAGCTTGAAACCCCCTTGGGGTTGGTTATTTACCATAAGGGTTGGTGGCCTCCTGGGCCATTGACAGAGTTTCATAGTTTAACTAAATTCTTACAATAGCCTGCCAGGCTTACCAAGTGCTCAAAGAGTAAAGTGCACTGCAAAATTGTGAGAAGTCGGACAACTACAGATACACTACTGTACATAAATTCCAAGGGTGTTACATATGGTGCAATTCCGACAATATTCAGAAGCCAATTTTGGATAATATAAACCATTAAAAGTGTGGTTATAAAAAACAAGTAAATCATAACACTGACAAAAAAGTTTCAATAAATGACTGTCAGGTTACTATGTAGAAATCCTTAAACAATTCAATATGGTGGACACCAATCTTGATGTGATCTGAAGCGAGGCATTGATAACATCTATTTTAAGAAAAAGAAACAAAATTAAAAACTTACCAACTTGGCTTGAGGAATCAGAAAAGGGTCACTGTACTCCGACACGCCACTTCGTCTCTTACGAGCAATGGCATGGAGGATTGAGTGAGGAACAGAGTCCGAGGGACGACCAATACGTAAATATCGTGACCCAGGATGAAGTATGATGCTTGCCTGAGCTTCCAAGTGCTGAAAGATAAATACAATAAATCTATAGTAAAGGTTGGTGACCTGGAGGGATAATTCAAGAAACCTTCCCTTCTTAATAAACAAAACAATGAAACAGAGATCAAATTACAACAAGGTTGTTCATTAACAAGTTATAGTACTCGTAGTTGTTGTATTTTTATTACTGTACTTACTATCATCCAAACAACATTTGCTGAAAAAATGAACAAAATAGAAAAACTGCTTCAGGTATTAGCTGTGTCCTTCACTATTACCTCAACATTTCTTGAGAAAATGTCATTTCCCCCTTTTCCTCAAAATTATGATTTTCTCAAGGAAATAAAGGTAGAAGAAACCATACCGAAATACCTGTACACTAGAATGTGTTTTCGTGTCAAAATCGAGTAGGCAGTAGAATACAGCACCAAATAATTACTGGTCAGGTCAAGTTTCCTTAGGTTTGATTGATGCAGTTTTTTGTTTTTACCCCCACAATTTACCTAGACTTGAAAGCCCTGCCTACTTTGTACAATCATTGTGGTAGGTCACATCTCCATAAATTATATTTTCGGTAATAGTGGAAGACAGCTAACACGAGAAGGAATTATTCAATTACACAATTAAGTTTATTTTTTCCACAGATGTTCTTTGGATGATAGTATATAAGTAAGGTATAAAAGATGAGGGAAATTGCAGGGTAAAACAACAAAAACCTAATCATATGACACTGAAGTGATGTCTCTATGTGCTTTGTATGTGAAGAAATTATGCAGTGGCTAAATTACCAATCACGGTTAAATAGCCTCACAGGCTGTTTTGGGCTATTTTCCCAGTCCATTGTCTATGTAATAGAAGTACAGTAATGATATAATAGTATTTATTGCATTATCAACTATGTATTACTAATCTTAACTAAACAAACCTATCTTACTTTACCCCCGGCATATTAAATATCTTGGTTCTAGGTCGTTTGCGAGGGAAAAGTCATGGAACAAAAGTGTCTTAGAATTGTCTACTCTCCTGATTGCAAAGATAAAATTCCCAAGATTCAGTGGTTGGTGGCAACAAATGCTATAGTTATACCTCTTCTAGTAGTTTTTTATTTTCAACTCACAATATCTTGGTTATGGGTGAAATGTGCTAAAGTGTCATAAAATAAAACTGTCTTTTTTATTGTCTGAAATTATAATTAAACAAAAAATCCCTACCCATCCCCTAATATATATTGACCCACAGCTCAGCCTCACCTACTCTGAGTTCTACTGAGTGGTGAGTCAGTTACACAATTACATGCCATCTCCATGGATATTATTCTTTGTTATCCTTCTTTAAGGATAATGTATAAATCTAAAAAAAAAAAATTATACATAAATATTAGTTTCAGCCACAACTCGGTTCGAGTAATTTTGTGTTTACCATGAGCTACTGTATATGTTGTCAATAGGAGCAACTTTTTCTAATACCACTTCCGTCACAAATGGATATTACCCGAGAAAGTAAATTCACAAAAGAAATTAACGTATATCTGCAGTCACCGAGTGATGTCTGTTTGTTTATAACCGACCTATTCATTGGTACAAAATATCACAATAAGTACTTTCTGTTTAATATGGCAGGACGGCTAGAAAGTTAGGTACTGTACGGTTAGGTAGGGTTCTTTGGTTGGTTAGGTCAGGTTCTATGGGGGAATGGAAGTAAAATTCAAATGAATCACACCAAATACCAAGGGAAAAACAAATGTCTATTGGTCAAACAGTAGTTGTGGCTGAAACTGTAAATTTACCAACACTATTACTGTACAGTATAGCATTACTCCAGTAAAAATTAGTTTTTATAACAATTTCACCAATTAGTACTAGATATTATTTTTCGAAAGGATTTTGGTGTTTTTTAATTGATTCTGACATTTGTTTCTTGTGGACCTAACATAACCTATTACCCTACCCTAACCTAACCTACTGAAATATCTATTGAGATAAAAACGAATATTAACCATTACTTCTATTATATAATCAATGGACCAGTAAAATAGCCCAAGCCATGACCGGTAATGTAGCTTATTGGAAGAAATTCATTATTTACCATAAATATTCCACTGAAACATATGTCGTGCAACAAACGAGCTGCTCGGTCAGACTGTACTCTCATGTAAAAAAAAAAAAAAAAGTAAAATTACACAATGCCACTTCAAAAAAGTTGTTTTCATTAGTACCAGACATCAGAGTAAGTTCTTTCTGTTTAATATGCTGAGGGGACCAGGGTTCTTGATAGGAAGTTCGGTAAGGTTAGGTAGGTTTACTTGGTTAGGTCAGGTTCTATTAGGCTCGATGCAATGTGAAAATCAATGAAATCGAACAACTCCTTCTGGTGTTTGCCGTCTGCTCCATATTCGTTTTATTTTCCACCAAATATAAAGATCAAATTCTTGGAAATCACTACCAATTACATAAGAAAAACCTATTTCTGTTAGTGATTACCATCCATGTCCTCTACAAAATCTTTACTGATTTACCTACCGTACATATTGCCACAGGGTAAAACTTCCGATATGTAAGTATTATTTAATAAATTAATTAGTATGAGATTTTTCAATGTTTTGGACATTATTGTGTTGTACCATATATTAACAATATTGTTGACTTACCTCAGAAAATGGCTCAGGCATCTCTCCCCACTTAGAAGTTCATTAAATGTGAATTCATCTTATAAGGGTTTATTAATTTATGTGTAAATATCCTTCTACAGTAACGTGATGGACGATTTTCCTCCTGTTACACCGGTATGGTAATTCAGACACAGCTTCAACCTCTCATTATACAGGAGCTTCCGTCTGTTACACACCCGTGCGTTTGTCTTACTATATTCTTGCTTAATTATTGTTCTTAATCTTAGACCGAATAGACATAAATTAACATGTATACAGTCGTTTGATAACCGTAGTGATTTAAGTTATGTTGTTGTGACTCATAATAGAGAGAGGCTGTTGTCCGATTCCTTCCTTCTGCTCTAGTAATTGAACTTTTTTACACCTGGTTAATTAAACGAATATATTGTATTATTATATTGTATATAATATATATAAACAATATTTTTCATAAAATATTCAATGTTTAAATTCCAATAACGGTAATACATTATTTTTCAACTAAACTTACATCAGTGGTCAATGAATCGGACAAATATTATTTGGCAACATATTTAAAGAAATCTGCAAAAAAATATTTGTTTTATCTCATATATATATTTATATATTTTTTTAAATGGTATTGGAATAGTGGAATTACTAACCGTGTTATGCACTTAAAGACCTTAACTATTGAAGCGCAGTGATACATAACAACAATCTGCAAAAATAAATGCTAATATTTCTTACTCTTTACATTACCCGCCTCAGTGTCAGGACCTCAGAGTAGGCACACTGTACTCCAAGCCTTCGACAGTATTGACACTTATCAGCCTTTTAAATGTTTGGGCGATTATTTAAATTAGTACATTTATTCATAATTTATTAATGTATAATACCAGAAATATTTAATACGCTTATAACACCATAATAAACCACCCACATTTACTAAATATACTCCCATAATATAATTTTTAACCTCAATATAATGTAAATTGTTACTAACGACTTAATTATTTATGAATAAATAATGGTAATACAAAAAGTGAGTAATGATCAAATACTACCTATTTTATTACTAATTAAATCGTTGTTGCTGGATAGTGTATATAACCCTTTATCTTATCAATTAATAGACTGTATCGTACTCATATATGAGGGTTGGCAACCATTGTCCTCCACTCTAAACGTTACTTTGTTTTGATGTAACATCACTCTTTACAAAGGTCCCAGTTGATGATTTACTAGAGTTCCTCATAGATTCCCTGGATGATATTTCACTGCCCGTCTCGAAAGACGACTTCATCAAACTCATCAAACTATGTATTAAGGATTCCAAATTCGAATTCAATGGAGAATATTATGCTCAAAAATTTGGTATGGCAATGGGTAATCCACTCTCACCTGTATTAAGCAACCTATATATGGAATTCTTTGAAAAGAAACTATTAAGTAATATTTTACCAAGAAATGACCTCG